GCGAGCATCAGAACTTATGTTCGGGAAAATAGGGACTGCCGCACTTCTTGAACGCCTCATCAAATGGCTGATCGTTGAGGAAAACATAGGGATATTGAAACTTTTTGTTGAAACGATCCTCCATCTGCTTCATGCTGCTCACAACACCATTCAAGTCAGTGTTTCGTGCTGAACATGCGGAGATGAGCATAGACCATGCATCTGGTAAAACCAACGCACCTAGCAGAACAAATGCGGCGTTGGCTTTGCGTGCAGGTGGTGTCGTTGCATTCGACTTGACATAGTAGTCCTCCGGAACACTCTCTTTGTACGGAGGTTGGTTCTTGCTGCTGGTAATTTTCTTCTTGATATTAGTGAGAGAGGTTGCATGGCCGTAGGTATCATTTGAAAAGCTGAGAATGTAGTGCAAGCTGACCTAGATTGCAATAAGTGTTCGGCGGCTCTTTCTCGGGAAGATGCGATACAACTTACAATGACAACGAGCACCAGCAGTATGTACCGCATCTGGGCGTTCATTTCGATGGCGGCTTCGTGGTCAGAAGCCAACGAAAGTAGAAGAGGAATTGAATGAGGGCCGTAATTTATAGGGGATCAAATATGTTCAGGCAACAGCACCAAGACTTATCATATTGGACACGTGGCTAAATGATCGCCTGGTGACGTGCAGTGCACGGGTGGTCAGACCTGGCAGATGTGGTTACTACACTCATTTCTATGGTAAATAATTATACATGCTACACAAATAGATCTTCGTATCTTTTTACACATGAATTTTGGGCGTAGTCTGCAGAACATAAGAGTAGATTCGGGCTTACACTTATTTCCAACACTTACCGAAACTGTCGCCTGGATCGCAGGAGCACCTTCCTCGTGTCCAATCGTCGCCTTGCGGGCAATGCTGAAAGGGATCATGTCGATATCCTATATCTCGGAAGAAATGGACCTGACTCTTGTTTGCAAATAGAGATGCTGCAATGCTGTGAACTGGCGCATCCCCCCAACGCTACAATGCTCCATGATCAGTGACAAGAAACAATGTGCACTGCCACAAACCTCGTAATAGAATCCCCCCTTTGACTCAAGATAATTAAAGAATGCTTGGTAGGCTTCACCCCGCCAGAAGTCCATGTCGGCTATTTCGAAATTGCTCCAGTCTGTCAGACAATGACATCATTCGTCTGTAATTCGACAGAGGGAGAAGGCCACCCACAATGGCATAGATTATAGGTATCCCCACCGTTATCAGATAGAAAGGCCATAGAATTGTCCGTTGCTACATATTGGGGATGTTCGACAATGAACTCTGTGGTGAAACAGCACATTTCATCATGCCGTCCTTCGCCACTGTCGGACGAAGAACATCGTACCTTTGACCGTAGACCACAGGGTGGGTATCGTCGCTTCCCATTCAATAAGAGAAATCGTGAAACCTGAAAAGATACATAAGTCGTTGTGCTTGAATCAGGGCAGGTAGTACGAACCGTAAACCTTGTTTTCATCCTCCATGTAAAGGAAAGGATCATACGAGACATCACAAAAGAACTTTACATCGGGCCTATGTGCGGCAGATGTTTAGAAAGTGCGGTAGCGGGAGCTTATTCGAGCTTACTCTACTCTGTGTGAGATGGATATCAGTCCACTGTCTTGTGGGTACTTAATGCGACTAACCTCCAGTAGTAACGGTATGGCTTTAGAAGCTCATGCTGGAAAAAGAACTTCGCGGTCTTTGTCAGTGCAAGGTGTCACATATATAGATAGAACATACTCACACCAGAATTAAAGCGGCACATATTGCGATATCTGCACGAGAAGTTAGTCACCTAATCTGCGGTCCTTGGGAGGAGAAGACTAACGGTACGCTGCCTGTCGATAGGTCAGCTTCAAGAAATGGTCTTACCTTATTTACAAGCAATGACATACCAGCGTAGATGATACCTTGCCACATCATTCTGGTCCTCCCATCCCTTGCTCTATTCTCGTCTATCCAGTCTGGCTGGAACCAATGCTCTCGTGGGATGAGACCAAACGTTATCGGTGCGTCCGTGAGTACAGAAACTCGCCTGCCATACATTTAGACGAGCTTGAGTGACAGATATGATAAGATGGCGTGCCTTTTGAACTCGTCTGTAAATGGCTCCTCGTTGAGCAACACCCAAGGATAGTTGTGGTTTCTATTAAACCTATCCTCCATCTGCTGTATGCTGGAAGCCACTCCTTGTAATTCGCTATTCCTGCAGAGCAAAACGAACGTCGCATTCGCTCGCCGCTCGTAGGTGAAATCGGTTGTGTTTCGAGAGGGACCCTCAACGACTATTGGGACCATGGTCGTTATGTTCACAGAAGTATCAATGAGTAAAGTCTCTGGAGGCGATCGAAACTGGTCAGAGATGTGTGAAGTAAATGTGTCATAGTCTTTGAGGACGAGCCCCAAGAAAAAGTGCAAGCTCAGCTATGCCGCGTACTTAGTCGTGGTATATGTTTCACGCGACGAAACAAAGATCTTACCACTACCACCAAGATAACGGCAACATAACGCCTAGGTGTGAGCATGTGGTCCTGGTGTATGCAGCTTGAAACGGGAACACAATCACAATCCTGTAGCGCCCACGAAGGGAGGGATGAAAGTTTACAAACGCAATGGCGATCATAAATCCGCAGCTGAGAAGCATATATATAAATATTGCGCAGGTCTCGAAATAGCCGGTTGGAGTGCGAGTCTCGGAGTCGGAGTGACCAACCAGATGGTGAGGAGACAGGAATAGATCCCGTTTAGCAACGATCACAATTGGAGCCGAGTGAAAACACACTTAATGTCCACCAATGGCCTAAATTATTTACAAGTAGCTGCTGCGGGGCGCTTCATTGCGAATAAGGGAAAGATCACTTTGCTGTCGCCAAAGGCGGATAGAACGAAGTGTAGGTTTGAATTCTTGCATTGTGGTTGTCAATGGGGTGGCCTTCATCTATTCTGCTCCAGATGCCCCGCTAAGTACATGGTGGAGCCTTCCTATCAAAGTATCAACGTACACAAACGGATAGCTCATCGGGAATATCTAGCTGACATTGGAAACGTCAGGCCTTCAGGACTGAAGGAGTCTGATTGGCTGTCTGGCCTGTGACATCCTCGAGTTATCGAACCCATTCTTGAAACATGTTAGCTGATTCGGCGTATGGGATATTATAGATGTATCAAGGAGAAATTGTTAGAATTGCAGGGTATGTTGTGTGTAGAAGGTCATGCGTAAGTGGAGTTGTTAAAGCGAAGAAGAAACAGAAACACATTCACCAATACCAATAGTACATCCAGGATCTCCGACGTATCCGAATCCGATCCGAGCATTGCCACCTGCACGTGGCGCATGTTACACGTGATCCAGTGTTGTTTGTGCATGCTTGGCCAGACTTTTTCTTTGGCTGCCACGGGAGTGACACAGGCAAATTTCAGTTGGTTAGTCCGTCATGGCGTCCATCTCACACTCTGAGAAAGGAGGGGACATTCCTCATACCCCCTCCCTTCCGCCAAAGTCCTCTTACTTCAACCCTATATCTCCCTTCACCGATGTGTATGATCGTTTCAACCAATGGCGAACGGACTTGGGCCTTCCCCACCCTGGCACGGTCGAAAACCTCCAGAAGGAAGTCAAAGGTACGTGGCCGCATTTGCCATGCGAAACCGTAGACTTACACTGCTGATTCTGTCTAGCTACTCACCTCACTAACTATATCTTTGACGGTGCTCGTGCCGACTTGACAAAGAGCTTGTCAGCGAACCCACTGTTTCAAGTCACACACTCTTTCGCTTTGGGCTCGCAAACCATGCCTTCCTCGTACAACTTTGGTGCAATCTTTGCCAACCAGTCGGTGAACATTTTGAGATTTTTGGGTGCTTGAGCGCGTCTAACATGACACGTCCCAGATTTTCCTCCAGGGTGGTGTCGACCATGATGGCAATGTCAATGCTCGTCTTAACCAAGGCTGGTCGGAGAAGAACGTAACCAAAGTGCAGGCACAGGTACGTCGAGCTCCCACCCTGTCACTTAACATCGAATGACGTGTCCTTTCTTCAAGTTTTCTTCCCAAGCGAGCCAAAACATGATTCAACTGGAGCACGACTATGCAGGCCAAGACTTCAGCATTAACGCCAAGGCAATCAACCCCTGGCCAGCAGACCTTACCGGCATCTATGTCGGCAGCTACCTCCAATCCTTCACCAAGAACATCGCCCTCGGAGTTGAGACACTTCTGCAGCGACCGTCCCCTGACATGGCCGAGCTTACCACGTCATATCTCGCAAAATACACAAGCAATGAGAAGAACTGGATTGCTACCGCCCAGATCCAACCACAGGGTGCAGTGCAAGCCACTTACTGGCAGAAGCTGAGCGAAAAGGTTGAAGTGGCAGCGGACTTGCAACTTGTTGCCACTCCGTCTCGTCGGGATGCGCTGGCGACATTGGGTGCCAAGTACGATCTTCGACTGGCAACCTTCAGAGCACAGGTCGACTCTACCGGGAAAGTTGCTGCACTGCTGGAGCAACGGTTTACTCCCGCCTTCGCCTTTCTGGTTTCAGGGGAGATTGACCACTTCAAAGTATGATTTGCCTTATTGAACTTCAGGAGTTTGCGCTGATGGCCGTGTTGTAGAACGCTGCTAAAGTCGGCGTCGGTGTGATGATCGAGAGTACTACTTTGACACCCGAGGAGATGGGTATGCCTCCTCAAGTATAATACACGTATAATTTGTTATGTTAGATTATCTATATGACCCTGCTCCTTGTAATAGCGAGCACTGCCAAAGTACGATTTTAATGCGTATTTTGTAGCAGCTTTCATCCACACCGGTGGTGTTGGCTAGACAGTATAGAATTCAAGCTGGATAAACCAAAATCTCGCAACGATATAACGACGTGGGAGCGCGGTTACGGCTCTATTTTTTCCTTCTCTTATAGTGATTTTGACTACCCACTATTTATAGACGGCGCCACATCGAGAGTACAAAAATGCCCACGCCGAGAATCGAACTCGGGACCCTTGCATATCACAGTTGTCAGTTAGCCTCATAAGTACAATGCTCTACCGGCTGAGCTACACGGGCTGCCTGTTCCGCCACAGCCGGGCTTACTTGAAACAAACAAGGGATTAGCAAATGAGGACAAAGGTGGTTGTGTAGGTGCAGATATGGTACAAAATGGTACAAAGAAACAACTACGAAATAGACCATCAATATTGGAGTCCGAAGATTACAGTACAAAAACCCAAAGCAAGTGTCCTCACTTAGCCCACAATGACAGAACTGGAAGCCGTCAATGCCGCCGCCGTCGCTGCTGAGGCTGCTGCCGTCGTCGCTGTTGCAGCTGCTGTCCGGTCAATCCGCTCAAGGCGCTTCGAGATCGACTCTACCATCCGCAGGGTAAGCGCAAGCTTCGACCACAACGACTTGTACATAGCGGCATTCTGAGTTTTGAGCATATCCTGAACCTGCCCACGCAAAGCTTCGATGAGTGGCTGCATTTGTGTACGCACACTATCCTGTAAAGGCTCCTCCAGAAGCTCGACGAGTTGGTCATGAGTGAGCCCAGGCACGGGAGAAGGGGCGGAGACCCTGGTGTAAGCCTCAATTGCTTGTTCCAAAGCAGAAATTGTTCTTCGGTCCTTTTCGCGCGACTCTTGGAAAAGTTGAAACTTCTTTTGCATCTGGGTAAAATGTGAACGCATGTAAAGACGTGTGGGTAGTAGGGACAATCACCTCTCCATACTGCTCCCTGGACGCGGCAATACGGGTCTTGATGTTATCCATTTCTAGCTTCTGTTCGTCCACGGTAACCAGTAGTTTGCCTACTTCGTCTGCCAGCTCCTCTACCTCATCCCCTATCGTGTCGATGTTCGTTTTGACCTCCTTGTACACATCTTCGCCCAAGGGTGGCCGAGCCTCCAGCTCGTTTGCGTACTCTTCCAGCGCATTGTCGATCTGTAATTGGACATTCCCGCGGATATCCGAGTCCTGTATGGTTAGGTCATTGAGGAAGGTGACAAAACGGCTATCGAGATCAGTGAGTTTGTCGCGCATGTCCTCGAGCTCTTGGGTGGTGGGGCCGGGTTCAGGTTCCACAGGAACATCGGGTCCCGCATCACGACGTTGTTTGAATGGGTGGGAGGAGGGACCCTCCTGCGTATCGACATGCATAGCATCTTCGTCGGTGTCATTGTGTGATCGGAGTTTGGCGATGGTGGTATTGATAACATCGACTTGCTCCTTGAGCTGAGCAACGTCCTTGAGCATGTCCGCATATTTGTTGAGCTCGCCATCTTGTGCGTCTGTCAGGGGCATAGCAGGCCAGGAATCTGCTTTCATGAGCCGGTCCAAGGCGTCCTCGCGCTGCTTCTTGATCTCTTCGCGTTTGTGGGCGAGCTGAGCGAGCTCGTTGTTAATGTTAGCTTTGCCATCTTCTGGGACGGCCAAGTAGCTGAATGTGTTGGTAAGAAGGTTGTGATTTGCGATGTCAGCTTCGACTTGTGTGAGTTGTTGACGAAGTGTTACGTTCTGCGCTAGGATTCTGTACAAGCGACAACGATGAGAATGAAAGGAACGGAAACTGGGGAGATACTTGCTTTATTCTCTCCTCCCATTGCGACTGGTCTGTGGATGACTTGAGAGGGTGTTTCTGGGAGAGAGCAGGGGGAGGGGCAGGGAGTGGGGGCAAGGGTTGCTGGTCAAGAGGCTGCACGGAAGGCATTGTCGGCTGGTGGGGGGAACGTGAGGGTGAGGGAGAACGGCGACGGTGGGGAGGAGACGGGCTCCGACGGCGATTTGCGATGACGCGAGCGTGCAGAGAAGGAGGGGGTGCGGTGGACCACCTTGGATCGTCTGGGTGGATGAAATGACAGGATCGGCCTCTGAAGCAGCGTCTCCGCGACGCTGACGGGGTGCCATCATCTTCGAAACCCTGGCATCTAATCAGTGTCTGCCTAATTACGGCACGCGTAGCTTACAAGACATCTCGTGCTGAACACCATGATAACGCTCAGAACAATTTCTATCGTGGCTGTGCTAGTCCTACTGTTACTACTCCCACACATTGACTATCTCAGACTCGTGCGTCATCACTGCAACGTCCTTCCGAACAGGCATCACTCGCGGGTACACAAACTACAACCCGCCGTCAGCCATTGCTTCCAATCAAACATACCACACGTACCCCTAGGTTGTATTCGTTCATCACTTCTGCTGCAATAATCTCCTTGTCTTTGAGCAGCGTTGAGTACCAATATGTCATCCCACGCAACTATATCCCATTCTGTCGTCAGCCCCGTCCACTCACCACGCCACTCACGTACCTGTGCCCACACCAAGCCCATTACCACCATCATTGCTATCCAGTTCGTCCACCCAGTCGCCATCCACAAGAACGCATGCGCAGGCGAGTACACAGTGAAAACAACCATCTCAAGCTCCCCAGGCGACCACACTTCCATCTGCTGCACTCGCGCAGTCCTTCCCCCCGCCTGCCCCCCACGCGTCGGCAGCGTCATTCCCAGCAGAAAGCGCCAAAAGTACGAGATCCCATACCACAGACCACTGCGAATCCGCGACACCAGAGAAGGAACCTCCAGCGGTTCGAAATCCAGCTGTGCCGATACAAAGCGTGCGCTCGGAGATGACACAGGCTCTGTCCGCTGATGCAACCGGTACAGCTTTATCCGTGTGAATAGATATACCGCATTGAGAAACGCAGCTGCTATCAGAAGCGCCGTCACAGGCGTTGTCTGAAAACGCTATTAGTCCCATAATTCATCGATAGCAAGGAGTTTCGTACCCAGTCAAACCATGACGAGCCCTCGTCTTCGTGGTACATGTCTTCCCATCCCAAGTCCGAGTCGGGCACCCTACCACTTTGACTAATTCTGACACAGAGATGCACAAGATGAAGCGCCCCGCCGATGAGCCGTCCCGATGTCGTTGGCGATGGAAGTGGCAAATTATGCGGGAACAATGCGATTTCAAACGCAATTCTCGAAGGAAGCGATGCGATCCTGACGCGTAAAGTTAGCAACGGAAGCAGCGTGGCGACTTTTTCACGTACCTCTCGGCGATGCCTTTCTTACGAACGACACGCTTGGCGGGAGTGCCTACACCCGTGCTTTGACGCCCTTTGTTTTGGGCGGGTGTCCCATATGGGGGAGGCTTCCTCGAGCGAGCCGCTTCCCAATCAAATGGAACAGACGACGAGATAGAAGGCGTCGAAGCGGGTGAGCGATAGGCGCCAATGGAAACGCGGCTTCGTGGTGTTAAAGGCAAGGTTGAAGACGCCAAACTTGGAGAACTGTGGGATGAACTTGAATCCTTACTTCGAGGGGTTCGGGGGGAGCTTGTGCTGGTCGCGGCATTGTTTGTCTGCGCTAGTCGTCGGAGCGACATCGCGAAGATGAGTCGAGAAGGAACACAAAGGACACAAAGTACGTGACGGAAGTACTTTTGTGCACAAGCACGTGAGGAAATTTAGGCCCAAAAGGCGTCCACGTGGTCTACACGTGGTGGTTGAACAATGAAAATGGCAAAAAAACCGACAGTTGGATTGTTCTAACTGCTTGTTCTTAACCCCCCACCTCCTTAACCTCATTTTTTCAATCCGCTGCGCTACCCCTTCACAAACCCTTTCCGTTTTCACCATTACGTCCAAAACGTCTATCCTACGCACTACACAGGCCCCATCCTTGTCGCCTAGTTCTTCAATTAGCAACGGTAAGCGTCGCTCAAGCCTGTTTGCGTGGCCCTAACACCTCATAAGTCCATAAAGTCAGGATGGCCCAACCCTCTTCCTCCCGCCATGAAGGTGAACGTGAACACCGTCATCGCAGCGACCGTGAACGTGAACGCGAACGCTCTCATCACCACCATCGCACCATCTCATCGACAACCCTTCTCCTCGTCCTTTCTCTTGTCCTCGCCGTTCTCGCGGTGATGCTCTCACTACCATCGGCTGGTTCCGGCGAGCCAGGCAGCGATTCTGCCAAGTCGGGTGTTCTAGGATACCTGACTCCCAAACGAACGCAAGCTCTTATTGCCCGTGAGAGTGCTGTCGCTATCCGTGAGGCCGAGGTTGCCCGTCGTGAAGCCGAACTTCTCGCTGGCGCTCCCGGCGGTGTTGTCCCCGCCCCTTCCGCCATCGCTTGCCCCGTTTGTCCTTCAGCTACCGTTACAGAGACCGTCCCCGGCCCAGTCCAGACTATCATCAAAGAGGTTGTCAAGGAAGACTCTCTTACACCCCCAGGTTGGGTTGGTACCCGCGCGGAAGAACTCCTTGACCGCGAACTCAAGATTGCCGAACGTGAACGAGACATCAGCAAACGTGAAGAATCCGTGAACCGTAGGGAACATGACGCTTCACGCCGCGAAAGCTGGATTATGGAGCAGCTTCAGTAAGCTTATATTTTGTTCCTTTTACGCGTCGTTGTTCATTGTCTCGCGTCAGTGCTCTCGGCAATGACAACCCTCAAAATGTCGAGGATGAATATGTATATGAGCCCGTTGGAACAAAGCGAAAAGCCAAGGTACCGCCGCCCACTCCGCGCCGCTCCGAGCTTTGAGACGAAGGAGGGTGTAAGAAACCATCGAGTCCGTATATCTCGTCCACGCCCCTTTACTCCTTCGTCCGGGCTAGGGGGACTTCGGTGCTTTCCTCGTCCCCCTCGTCCTCTTCGTAGGCCACTGACCAGCCGAGGACGTGTTGTGTTAATGTCCCGTTTGGGTGACGCGTCGTGATCGAGACGATCGAGACTTCGATCGAAACTCGATCATAACACGTGATTGCATTTTTTTCCCTTCCGGCTGGTTTTGTGGTCGACGAGCTCACTAAAGCTATTGTTGCAACCATGCTGACGACGTCTGTTTTTCTTACAGTACAATGAACTCCCGCCCCTTGTTGTTTCCGAAATCGCCTACGAGACCGAAACCAAAATTGTAGTACAAACTCAAACCGTTACCGTTCCTCCTCCTGCCAACACTCGTCTCGCCGCCAAGCCCAAACCAGAGGGTGTCACTTCTCAATCGACGGCCTCTAGTCCCAGGACGACTGCAGTAGAAATTGTTTCCGAGGA